TACACCGGCATGGCTTCTACTTTTAAAATGAAATTCAGAACCCACAGCTTGTGGATAATGATAATTGTGCCACTCTGCTTCTTATCAGGTCTACACAAAGTAATAGCACAGGCAAAGTCAAAGACTAGCTTTGAATCTCTCACAAATTTACAAAGACAGTGCTGCTGACCACAACACACTCCCTACCCGATGCCTTCCTGCAGGCTCTGTGGAAACTGCCGTCTGTTAGTTAAGTTTTGAAAATCTTTTTACACATAATAAAAATATATTATAAGGGGCTGATGGAATGGCTCAAGTGCTAGAGTACCTGCCTAGCAGGGATGTGGCCCTGTGTACAAACCCCAGTATTATACATACACACAAACACACACATTTATATATGTGTATGTACTATGAATAATGCAAGCACATCTCATATACACAATAATAACAACTATTCAAATCAAACAAATGCAAAATATATTACAGTTTTTTTATGTTTATAGATATTTTGTAAGCATATTTTATAAGCTTAATGTTGAGATTCAATGTATATTATATAAGAAGAAGTACTTATTGGGTACTTGGTGCATGATTATTGTGGCATGAATTAAACCCATGTATCTAACTCTATAAAGTTCTATATAATATTTACAAAGCACAGACACAGATTTATAATATCTCTAATCACAGATATAAAGGGTCCTTCACATAAGTTTTGAAATTTGATAACAAAACGAGAAAAACTAAAACTACTATCTTAACATATTTTAAAAATCTCTATTTGTGGGAGGGGACGGGTGGGTAGAGGAGGGGGTGGGGAAGGGGGGAGAAATGACCCAAACATTGTATGCAAATACGTATTTTAAAAAATCTCTATTTGTTTTGTTAATTTTTTTTGGTGGTACTGGGATTTGAACTCAGAGCATTCATGCCTGCTAGGCAGGTGCTCTATCACCTAAACCACTCCACCAAGTCCTAAAATAACTCTATTATGTGCTAAAGTCAAATGTTAGTTTGAGAAGAACTTTTATATAATACATCAATATTAGAATCTTGACCACTTTGTAAACAGTTTTAATAATAAAGGACTCAGGCTGGGGGTGGTGGTACATGCCTGTAATCTCAGCACTCTGGGGGATAAGGCTGGAAGATCCAGAGTTCAAAGTAAGCCTGGGATACATAGGGAGAAACTCAAAACAAAACAAAAAACAGACTCAGATATTTTATCTTCATGTTTTAGTGTACACTTTTCTCATTTATATTTACCTAATTTATTTTTAACATTCATCATTTTAAGTTATTTCTCTCAAAGAAAAACCCTAAAAGTTGCTGTACTTGAAACATACAAAGTAATGGACAATGTATTGTATTTTTACTTAAATAATTCTTCTTAGGTCTTAAATATCTAACTGATAAATTCAAGTCAACTCAAATAGAATTCCTTAGGGTGATTTATCATATGACATACCAATTTATAAAAAGATGGTTAACCAAACATTTTTACATACCAGTTTGTCTTAAAGTCCTCTTTTAACTCTTTTATCCTTCGTCTTCTTTTTTTTAAAACAAACAAACAAAAAACCTTGGAGCAGTCTCTTTTCTAATGCTCTTCATCCTTGCGATATGTGCGCTGGTCCTCTCCTAAAGGTGTGGACCCATTTCTTTTTTTGGCAGGACTCAGGGTCTTGCATTTGCTAGGCAAACACTCTACCATTTGAGCCATGATCCCAACCTTAGGTTTACCCTTTATGGTATCAGTTTGGACAGACATTGAACTTCCCATTTACCTTACACATAAGCACACAAACACACCCAAAGGCACCACAGGTACCAATCAAAGTATAAAGTCCAGCAACTAATGCTTAATGGTACCTAAGTTTCAAACAGCAAAATCCCAGTGGTGAAGGAGAGTTCCTGATGTGCACATCAGAGCCACCTGTTGTGGGAGCCCACCAACTCACCCAAATGTCAATTCCCCGAGTCAGTGGCAGGCATTTGGGGAGCTTGTGCCACAATCAAAGAAGGCAAGGGAAAGTTGCCAGAACCAAAAATGGTTGCACTGCTTGCTAGAAATAGTCCAGCAGCTTCCTCTGTCATGGAGCCAGCTCATTGCAAGTAGGAGTCCTCCTGGCTGGTTCACCAAAAATTTGATACCTGACCCAAGTTCAGCTGCTTGCCCCATGATAGGTCAATTAAGTCAAGAGGTTGTTAAGGCACGGAAGATGACTTTATGAGAAAAGCTGGCTACATGAGAAGATAGGGGACTCTTGTCATAAAGTCTATCTTGAAAACAAGCTGACTTAGGGGTGGTTTATACAGGTGGTTGATGGTGGGCACCTTCTCATAGCAAGTGACAGGCAATTGCAGACTGGTGGGTGGGTGGGCAGATGACTAACATCTGACTGACTAGACTATTGCCTAGTCATGAGTTGCTTTTCAGTTTTGCAAGAGCAATGATCATTAGTTCCTTGGACTATTCTTGTCACTGATTAGCTTCTCCACGTGCAGTTACATATTGCACAAAGTATATTATGACTATATCATTGCAACAAAAGAGCTGAGAAAAATAACTTAAAGGACGAGAGATTTTCTTTGGTCTACAGTTTCTTTGGTTCATAGCTCATGGTCTATTGGCCCTGTTGTGGGGTTGTGGTGAGGAGGGCATGGTGGAGCAAAGCTGCTTGCCTTATGTTGGTCAAGGAGGGAAGAACAATGAAACCTCTTGCAATTGCTTTAAGTCAGGTGGGGAAGGGTTGGAGGGGCAGGTGATGGGGGCAATCTAACCAATGTACAATGTAAGGCTATTCAGAATTGTCACAATGAATCCTCCCTGTACAATGAATATATCCTTAAAAAAAAAAGGAGGAAAAAGGAGGAGGAAGGGAGAGAAAAAGAGAAGAAGGAAGAGGAGTAAGGAGGTGGGAGGGGAGGGGAAGGAAGAGAAGAAGCTGTCTTAGACAAGATAAAATCCCCAAGGGCACACTCCTGGGACCCATTCCCTTCAACTAGGTCCTGCCTCCTAAGTTTCTAACACCTTCCAATAGCCCATCAAATTATGAACTCATCAATGGATTAGTCCACTGATCAGGTCAGAACTTTCAGGACTCAATCACTTCCCAAAAGCGTATCAGCTGGCAGCCAAGCCTTTAGCATATGGCTCTGGGGGGACATTTTAGACCCAGACCGTAATAGTAGGGTATAGAGGGTAGCTGCTCCAAGGCCCTCTTGCTGATTGCTGAACTCATGTTAATGAATAAAAAATGTTCCCACAATGGGTAGGTGGCTCTGACATGTGTATCAAGAACTCTTTTACCACTGGGATTTTGCTGATTGAAACTAAGTACCATTAGGCAGATGAAATAGTTGCTGGACTTCGTACCTTGTTCTGTATCTCTGGTGTTTTGGGTGAGTACTCAACTTTGAATAGCTCCAGAGTGATAAAAATTTTTTTTGTTATTTATAACACACCCCTTTCAACCACACCTCATTTTTTGGTTTTTTTGTTTGTTTGTTTGTTTTAATTATTGTTGTGCTGGAGGTACACTGTGACATTTACAAAAGTCCCTCAGCTTATGTTAATGAGGCAAATTTTGGCAAGTTCCCAGTGCTCAGAGGATTGGAACTCATACCCTCACCACCACCACCCCCAACTCCAGGGAGAGGAAATAGGCTGAAGGTTGACTTGATTACCAATGGCCAACAATTTGACCAGCCAAGCCTATGTAATTAAGCCTTCATAAAAACCCCAAAGGAGGGAGAGGGTGGGGGGTACGGAGGAGAAATGACCCAAACATTGTATGCATATATGAATAAATGAAAAAAAAACCCAAAGAAGGCTGGGTGTAGTGGTACATACCTATAATCCCAGCAACTCAGGAAACTGAGGCAGGAGGATGGTGAGTTCAAAGCCAGCCTGGGCTACATAGCAAGACTTTATCATAAACAAACAAACAAAAACAAAAGGATCAAGTTCAGAGTGCTTCCAGAGATGAATAAGAACATATGCCAAGAGAGAAGCATACCCCAATGCCACAGAGAAGAAGCTCCTACACTCAGAGCCCTTCCAGACCTCACTCTATGTATTTCTCAATCTGGATGTTCATTTGCATTGTGAACTTTTTGGAAAGCTTAATCTGCAAGAAGGATCCAAGTGGCTATTTGGGCCCAAGTTCAAAATGGAGTCTGGTAGCCATTTGCCAATTAGGAGGTCACATACATACTCTGCTTCTGGAAGAATCAACAACTGAACTTTACAGCCCTTGTTCAGACATATTCCTATTTCAACTACCAAGATAAACAGCCTTGGGAAGTCCCTTTTGCCACCCACTGTAAGGGAAATGAGTAACAGTGGTAACTCCATTTTGGATGAGGAGACATTTTAGAAACAGACATGTGAAGGGGAAGTAACAGGCTTCTTAGAGAAGCAACAGGCCTCTTACCAGGTAACAAAATGCAGCTGTAGGATGTGGGGGGAGGCCAGGATGAGCTGATCAACCTTCTTGGAATGTTCTGTTGGATAAGGATGTGGTCAGACAGGGGACTGGGTTCAGTGGGAAGTTGACTAAGTGCCACCAATCACAAATGTAGTAAGTTTCAAGATAGAATAGTTGGACCTAAGCCAGGCAGAGCCTTATATCACTCCTAGACTCCAGTTTAGCTTTCCCTCCAGCAAGGGAGCATTGCTGACTTTTTAATAAACTTGTGCTTGCTTTGCTTTTAACTTCTGGTCCAGTGTCTTCAATCATCAACTTCTGGACACAAGCAGGATGAGTGATTCAGTATCACCTAAAGTCAAATTTAAATAGCAATCAAGCTGAGTGCTTGTATCCCTCATTTGCATACAGACTACAGTGGGAACCTGTGGAGGAACTTTCTCTGTATAAACCAGCCCCTCTCTCTGATCCTTTCATTTTGTCCTGAAAGCTGCATCTCCCTGGTTTGTAGACTGCTTTTTTTTTTTTCATTAATGGGTAATGGGATTATTTTTTATGTATTTTGCAAATTTTCTATTAAATATATGTACAGCAGTTAGGATTTTGTTCAAGAGCAATTCTCAAGGCCAGGTCCTTGTCATTACTAAGGGGTAACTCTGGATAAATTCTTCATACATAAAATAGTCCAAATTATACAGGAAGTTGTATTTGGTAACATAAAGTTCCTGGTTGTCTTTATTATATTCACAGAGGTTATTTTAAAGAAAATCTTCAACTGGTGAATGGAATGGTATATTAAATTGTATTTCCAAAAATCTGCTTTACACTTTTTAAGGGCTGGAGGTGTGGTTCAACTGGTAGAGCTCAGAAGGTGCCAAGACCTGAGTTCAAACCCCAGTACCGCCAAAAAATAAAGGAAAAATACGCATTCAAGGAGGAGGTAGTGGTGGTGCAAGCCTGTAGGCTACGTTCCAAGGCCGTCACCAAAAAAAAAAAAATTACTTTCATGTTAACAGTTTTGATAAATACCTTTACCACACTTAAATGTCCAGTCTCAAATCTCGGAAGAAAATGCTGTTTGGGGGAAAATCTTATTTCCATTTAAAGGCCAGCATTATTTTTGACAGAAGGTAAGCACGCTCGCTGTTACACCACAAAACCCGCATCAGTGTGTCACACCCCAAATCACAGTGTGCAGTTTCATGGCAACGTTCATTCAAAATGCGGCTTCTGCCACCTGTGACCCAGTAACTTTGCTATTTCCGACCAGCTTCAAGAAGAGAGAGACAGGAGAGGTGAGCGACAATACTTTTAAGGACCAGGGCGTGTGGCGCCCCGAGCGGGCGCGTTGTCCTCACGACCACTTCTGGGTGACGTTGAGGTGGCCGAGCTGGTCGGCCGCGTATCTGTGCGGGGGGAACTTGGACGTGGTGGCCGCCTTGATGGCCTCGAAGGCCCGGGCCCTGCGCGCCGCGGCGTGGCCGCACTCCTGCTCGGCCGTCATGCAGGGCATGCTCAGCCAGTAGTGGTTCTCCGCCTCCACCTGCAGGTGACGCACCATGTTCCGCTTCGCCAGCAGAGACACGGTCCGCGGCCGCCGGTGCTTCCCGATCCACTGCCGGCCGGGAATCCGATTGCGGCGTAGTAGGGCGGTGAGGAACATGGCGCCAGCAGTGGTCTTCAGAGCTCTGCGTGCCTCAGGTCGCTCCCCGACGCGCCTTGTAGACTGCTTTTTAAAATAAAGCCTGTTTTTGTCTTAAATTCTTTCCTAGTGAATTTTTGTTGGTGTCAGAAGTGGGATCCTAAAGGACTTTCCTGGTTATTTCCAGCCCATCCTGAACCAATTCATTGGTGACTGCAAGAGTCTCTGAGGTTTTTTTTGTTCATTTGTTTGTTTATTTTGTGGTTCTGGGGCTTGAACTCAGGGCCTTCACCTTGAGCCACTCCACCAGTCCTATTTCTGTGAAGGGTTTTTTGAGATAGGGTCTTGTGGAACTATTTGCCTGGGCTGGCTTCGAACCGTGATCCTCCTGATTTCTACCTCCTGGGTAGCTAGGATTATAGGCGTGAACCATCAGTGCCCAGCATTGGAGCCCGAGTTTGATTGTATCCCCTGTGGGTGCTGCTTTGTATCAGGTAAATCTTCTCCAATCCAAACCTCCTGCATTCCAGGTAGAGCTCTCAGAATTTATTTCAAGATAGAAGAGAATTCTCTCACTCAGGTTATTGACTTACTGCAATAAATAAAGTTGAGCCAAGTGTGGTGATACACTCTTGCAATCCCACAACTCAGGAGGCAAAGGTTGGCGGATTTCAAGTTTGAGGCCAGCCTGAGTTACATAATGAGACCCTGTCAATTATGTATTTGGAAAAAAATTACGTATTTGGGAATTCCAGACACTTAAAATATTAAGCAGTACTCTCTCTATAGATGGATTGATAGGTAGGTGTATAGATAATTATAAGTTGCACAGAAAGGGATCCTTCATTAGGTGAGTGAAAAATGGGTAATCTATGCTCTATACTTTTTTCTGATGATTGGTGATGGCCAACATTCCAGTCAGTTTTCATGACTAAAAATGACAGTTCAGAGAGCTGTAATTTGCTAGGTCTCTGGACCAAAATAAGCCAAGATGGCCTGAATATTTGCTAGCCAAAATGGACCTTAACAATGCTTGTTCTAGTGTTGCTACATCTGAGATCCAGGACCTGTGACAAAAGACTGGCAAAGAGTGAGATTTTCTTACCAGTCAGGTCCCAAATCTGCTGCAGGAACCAATCAAGGCAAGAATAATAGGATTATTTTTGTCTTCTCTCTTTAAAAATTTGCAGACAGGGGAAAACATTTTTTGAGATCTAGTGCTTTGGTGCCTGTACTCAGGAGGCAGAGATCAGGAGGATCATGGTTCCCTAGCAAGTGTGAGGCCCTGAGTTTAAAACCCCAGTACTTCCAAAAAAGAAAAAAAAAAAAGGGACTTTTGGTGTTTTGTGAGTTCTCTAGATTCCTATTTGATCCTTTTTCTGAGATAATCTTTGGTTTCCTTTGTCTTGTTTTTCTGTGTCATCTGTCTGAAGGAGTGAAACCACACAAAAAGAGCACAGCCACAGGTCCTGTTGTCTGTTGTTGGAACTGGCTCTGCAGATGAGTGGGTTTATAATTTCCATCATACTGGCTATGCTGTGAGTCCCTGGAACAAAACAAAAAAATGGATGAGGTTCCCCTCTTATCTTATGTCCTGAGAGTTTTGCTTAGTGACCAAAGAGGACACCTGCTAGCCTCTGCCTCCCAAGGGACAGAGGTATCAGTGTCTTAGCAGCCAGCCAAAAGGCTGAGACTCAAGACACATAAGACTTGAGGCAGCACTCTTGATGTCCAGCCATGCCAGTTTCTCAGGGTCTTGGTCTTAGTTAGAGGTGCCCGTCCATAAAGGACTTTTGTTGCCTATTTAGTGTTGGGAAAATTCCAATCCCAGTGTCACCTGCCTGATGTCACAGACTAGTGGGCCTGTAACTGGAAGTGTCTTACATTTTCTTGGGTGACTATGGACACTACTGCAAAAACATAACCTTAGTCCCCACAGCAGCAAAGGTCTTTTACCATCTGAGAGTCTGTGAGAGTAAACTTTGGATCATGGGTGTCACACTTACACCCACTTTAAGAACATGATTGCTCTAATCCAGCTACCACCCTTTCTTCAACACTGCTGATAAACCTGATTTATAACAACCAACCTCTGCTCAGCTTTGGTTTTGATACTGATACACCTGACTCGCAGTTTCTCATTGTGCTTAATTAATTAATGCATGTACCTGTCCCATAGCAAAAGGGCTAAAAACGATGAAAGTTCTTAGTGAAATTTTGGCCAGTATGATAGCACAAATAATGTGCACCTCTGCTCTCCCCAGACTTTCATGTTACAATTGGAAATGAGACTGTCTTCCTTTAAAAAAAAAAAAAAAAAAGACAGGGATAAAGGAGAATGGTGGAAGGGGTGAATTCAAGTATGATATATTTGATATATTGTAAGAATCTTTGTACATGCTGCAATGTACCCCCACCTAGCACAATAAAAAAGCCTAAATATATTTGTTGTCTCTTCTAGATAATACCTAATAATGAGATATTTTTAAAGGGTTTATAAAGCCCTATGATCAATTCAGTTTAATTAAATATACTGAGGATTGAACCCAGGTCCTCATACATTCTAGGCAAGCACTCTACCATTAAGCTATACACCAGCCCCATACATATACATACACAGACACTTTATGTTTGTTTTTTGCAGTACTGGAGCTTGAACTCAGGGCCTCATGCTTGTCAGGAAGGTATTCTACCACTTGAGCCACTCCACCAGCCTTTTTTTGTGTTGGTTTTTTATTTTTTCCCTGGTACTGGGCCAGGGCCTATACCTTGAGCTACTCCATTAGACCTTTTTTTTGTGATGGTTTTTTTCCAGACAGGGACTCATGGACTTTTTGCCTGGGCTGGCTTCAAATTTTGATCCTCCTGATCTCTGCCTCCTGAGTAGCTAGGATTACAGGTGTGAGAACCACTGGCACCTGGCAAGAACTCTTTTTTTTTTTTTAATTGTTTTATTATTGATATGTGCATACAAGGCTTGGGTCATTTCTCCCCCCTGCCCCACCCCTCCCTTACCACCCACTCCACCCCTCCTCTCCCCCCACCCCCTCAATACCCAGCAGAAACTATTTTGCCCTTATCTCTAATTTTGTTGAAGAGAGAGTATAAGCAATAATAGGAAGGAACAAGGGTTTTTGCTAGTTGAGATAAGGATAGCTATACAGGGAGTTGACTCACATTGATTTCCTGTGTGTGTGTGTTACCTTCTAGGTTAATTCTTTTTGATCTAACCTTTTCTCTAGTTCCTGGTCCCCTTCTCCTATTGGCCTCAGTTGCTTTTAAGGTATCTGCTTTAGTTTCTCTGCGTTAAGCTCTGCTAGCTAGTTTTTTAGGTGTCTTACCTATCCTCACCCCTCCCTTGTGTGCTCTCGCTTTTATCATGTGGCAAGAACTCTTAAACATAGGTATCTTATGACTTTAAAATCATACCATTGAACTGAGTAAAAACTTTCATAACTCTAATAGAAAACAGACTTATAAAACTGATGACTTAATCAAGCAGAACAAGAATTGACTAAATGAGATTAAGCTGATAACATTTTATTAGTTTTATGATTTTGTGTTTAAAACATTGCTGATTCCTTTGTTTTGTTTTTCAGAGTCAAGACAACATTTTTTTTCTTTTAGGCTACTTACAGTTTATAGCAATCTGGTAAAGAATACTTTTGTAAACAAAATTAAAACATTTTGTTTTCTCCTATTCGATCCCTTCAGAAATTTAAAACTATCACTGAATATTATTATTTTAAGGTAAAATAACTATTTGCATAAGTTAAATAGGAATCTGTTCTTATAACAGAACACAATTGTAAACACTGTTTATATTACCAAGGCTTTGACTGGAATGTCAAATTTTTCATATATGACCAGATGGCTTTAAGAAACTGAGGTTAGGGCTGGAGACAAACCTCAGTGGTACAGCTCTTTCCTAACATGTGTGAGGCCCTGGGCTTGATCCCTAGCACTGAAAACAAAATAAATCAAAAGTGAGATTAACACTGAAGCCAGTGTTTTTCCTTGGAAAACCTGGCCTAGTACCTTGTCTACATGATTCTCTTATAGGGTTATTGGCCTCACAGTAAATAAAGAATGTCACTTTTTGGCAAGATCACAAACTTCAGGATATTTTGGGGAAACTCAAGAAGAGAGGAATTCACCCAGGTATTCCAGGGGATGTTGGATGGTAAACCTTTGGCTTAGCTTCCTAGCCTTGAGAGGTCAAATCTGAGGTTCCTTATAAAAAATTCCAGCAAAGCAAACTTAAAAACAGCCTAAATTGTCAACCATTACTTTGCTATACTTATGCAAATAAAAGACTGGGCTAAGACTAAAACTTACAGTATAATTAATCAATCTTACTGTAATTATATTAGTTTAGAAATGAAAAAACTAGAGAAAGAAAAATTATGTTTCCAAAGAGAAACTGTAGTATATATGCTATTAGATTTTTAGTGCTGTTCATTGTTTTTGAGGTTTTATTATTCACCTATCACTTGTACTAAATCCTAAACTTTTAGTATTCTATATTTGGCTCTACCTCTCCAAATTAATACTTCTAATTCTCAAATATTTTTAGCTGGCTTCCCTCTGGCTTTGATTTCCTCTTACATCCTGCTCTAAAGTTTTTTATTGTTGTCACTGTTTTTGTTGAGAAGGGAATCAAACCCAAGGCCTCATGTGTGCTAGGCAAGCACTCTCCCCTGAACTACAGACACAACCCTTGCTCTACTAGTTTCAGTAATCCTTCTCATACTAGGACTAAGCATTGCTCCTCTTTAAGCTCATTCTAGCCTGTTTTAACACATTCTTGTAAGAGATCTGCACGAGGATCATGTTAAATCAACACCTTATGATTCTGGACTTAGTCCATCCAAAAACCAGATCCAACATAGCCCAAGAGACTTTGACTGAGACCTCCAGAATGGCTACAGTTGCTCAACTGGTCACTACCTAGCCATCAAAATCCCAGGTTGGGACTGGATGGACCCACAGAAGGTAACCAATACTCTAGCACAACCTTACTGATCATCAATGCTGTCTGCCAACAGGTTGTGTTGTTTTGATTTGGCGGTACTGGGGTTTGAACTTAGGGCTTCACACTTGTTAGGTGGCCATTCTACCACTTGAGCCATATACCCATCTCTGCCAACAGGTTTTGAGAATAGGA